CAGGCTGGCTGGGGAATTCTGGGAGTTGAAGTCCACCCGTCTTAAAGCTGCCAAGGTTGAGGAACCCTGTGCTAGCTAGCCCTAGGCCAAGGAGGCCTGTAAAACAGAGGGCAGCACTGAAGGAGGGCAGCAGAGATAGACGGGATACCTCTGCTTGAATAATTAGGAGACAAGCATCAAAAATAATAAGATCCATTCTGTACTGGACCAAGAAGCCTCTGGCTACCAGCCGATAGGGAAGATGAGAGGAGGATGTTGAATTGGGATTACCCTCTGTGGGTTATCCAGCTGTGGTCTTCCCAGGGGCATCTAGACAACCCATCCTGGCAAGGTTGGCCTTATTTAGATTCAGCACAGTTTTCTGTACGTTCTCTTGTTTTAATTCAGTGGCAGTTTTGGGGGCCAGGGAAGGATTTGCGCCTCTATAGAGCAAATTTGGAACATGAGTTCTAAAGAAGGAAATACTGTAAAATACAGCTGGGAAATCTTCCCACTGAACTGTACCAAAAGAAGATCCAATCTCTCTTTTTCTCCATGTAGTAGAAAATATTTAAGTTGACAAATAGGATATTTAACAGCACAACAGATACTTGGCAGTTCATTATTAACAACTGTTACTGACGTGATTTATTTGCTGTTATAAAAAGGGCATTATTTTGTGAATATGATTCAGAAATTAGCTCCAGTTTAGCAAGAGGCCTTGACTGTCTGACCTCTTAATAGCCTTATAATGATGCCATTTACCATTCAGTGGCTTATTCAAGTCACTCTGTGCAAGATTTGCTTTTAAAGGACTAATATTCACAGATGAGACACTCATGGGAGTGAGAAACCTGTGGGCGTATGCCTCCCCAAAGCTGCAGTTCTCTAGGAGTAAAAAGGCAGGGGTCCTGTATGCCGTTTTCAGCACTACTTGTGGATCTCCCCATATATCCATATGTTCTTCTTCCAACACTTCCCCCCAAGTATCTGTGTTTTGCCCATATCTACCATGATTTCTGGCATTCAGCTGCCACTTGCGCCTCGCTGTCACTTCCTGCCTTGGCCGATATTCTCGCTGGGCCAAAAACACAAAGCCCCTCCTGCCTGCCTGAAGTGGAAGGCTTTGCACATCAGATCTCCTCCATGCTACCAATTTCTTTCACTTTTCCATTTTCAAGCTTCACCACCACATTGTCAGCCTGCTTCCTGGCTCCATCCCTTCTCCATTCAGATACAGTTTCCCTAGTTTTCGTTTTGTTTTGAATGGGCTGACCAATCCTCCTCCTCCTCCAGCCCCTGTCCAGTTTCCATATTGAATTTCATCTCAACTTCCAAATGGTGGCCACTTACACTGAGCGTATTGGTTGTCTCATCTTGAAGCATGTTTGGACCCCCTCTTTGGCTGCGTTCAATGGCAGACTGAGTCATAGCCAAGTACTTTTTAGCTCAACATGTCATGAAAACACAGGCAGTGTGCTTAATTTATAATTCAGTGTGTCATGCAAGGCCAGGAAACAGAGTTACTTGCATAAACCATGAGTAAATAACTGTGGGTAAGTAGGTCATACCAACACTGCGATTGCATTCTTTTTTTTTTTTTTTAATTTTCTTAGGTAAAACTGATGTTTTTGGAGGAAACTTGACTTTTTCCTTTGACATGCTTTTCCAGTGTGGGTTGTAAACCATGATTATAGGTTCACATATTATGAGAAACTGGGTGATTTAATAAACCATCATTGTGTCATGGCCTAGCATAATGTGCATATAGCAGTTGTGAGCCACCCAGAGTCGTTAAGAGTTGGGTGGCATACAAGTTTAATAAAATATTATTAATAATACATTATTATTATTTAATTATGCTGGCCAATTCCTGAGTTATAGGTGCATATCGTAATCCAAAATATACTTTTTAACCAAGTTTTTAACTATTATTATTTCAAATCCTTCTCTCTCCCCCAATGTTTTGGAGACATTTGACAATCTTCAATTTCTCCATCAGCTTCCTTTTAACAAGCTCCTTATTTTTTAGAATTCATATCTAGTTGGTTGGGTTCACACATTGCACCATCAACCATGATTAATTGAGTAAGCCAAGATCAGCAAGATTGGCACCCTGTGGTCAGTCAGAAGCAAGCAGAAAGTTCTGGTTAGCATTTCCAGTTGGTCTGCAACACTCAAACTTGTTCCAAATCCCAGGCACCATTTAGGAATAATTCTTCTGGTTGGTTCAGTTACCAACTGTTTGGGGCACTGTTGTTTAGAAATATGGAAGCGGTCCATCTTCGTCATGACCAGAATCTGTATATGTCCAGGCCGTGGGAGGGTCATTGCAAAGGGTGGGCAGATGTCCCTCAGAACGAAGGCACGGGTTCCCTGCTCACTTGCAGGTGCGGCCCAGGCACCTTCATTTGTACAAGCTTACAGTTCTTGAACACAAAAAGTTAACTTTTCAAGCTTTTTCTCTCTTTTTTTTATAGCAATCCTACTAGAATAGGGTTGTGGAGTCATTTTGTTTCAATTGCGACAGATTTGGTGATTTATTGCAGAGCACAAGTGGTTCCCCTGAAGATCCTGGTCTATTTTATGCCTGCTCCTAATCCTATCCAATTGTAGAATTGATATATGGCTTGTTTTCTAAGCTCTCTCTGGGATGAGCTAGCTTTCAAATATGTGACTATAAATATGTTTTAGATATAACAACTGAAACTGAAGATGACTTGCTGCAGTCACTTGATATACAGCATGTCATGGTTACATTAAAAATATGAAGGTGGCTGTGGATGAACTCATAAATAGGTACCTTCTTGAGCATTCATGCGCTGTTGCTGGTTTACAGCACTAATGCTCTGTGCTTACCTCTTTGAGCACAGATACGCTCTACACACTCTGCATCTGTAGAATTTAACTTCAGGTATTCACCCCCGAACCATTTTAAACTTGCAGATGTCTGCCATAGGCTGGTTATCTCCCACCCCTCTGCCCATAGGTGCATCGGTCTGTGGTTGATGAGTCTACCGTTGGCAGGTCCAGCAAGCGTCTTCACTGGCCTCTTGTTTGTGCTTCCAGAGTGTACATCACTCTCACACCTGCTTAGCTTCAGTAGTGCTGCGGCATGACTATGAGGTCTGTGTTGTCCAAACGGCCAACCCTCCAAAGCACTGAAGTACCATTCCCATATCCCCCAACTAGTCATGTTTAATTATTGGCAATGTGCACCTTAGGATATTTATATCTCAAGGTACTTGTAGGGGATGTTAGTGGTACACCACTGAGACCTGACTTTGGTTGCTTTCACTGACTTATTTTTTGGCATTTTGGCATTGCAGGTATTAAAAAGAGCACAATTACATGCTCCAAAGAGGAGGCATTACTGTATTTGAGATTATAGGCAGATGCTAAATATAAGACAGGTTTACAAATGTCTGAGCAGTTTCAAAGCAATACTGTAAGTTCACTGTTGGTGGCTCTTTTGCTCCTCAAATATAAAGTAAGGCTATCTTATGTTCATGCCGAGAGGTCTGTTTCTCAGCCCAGAAGAGGAGCTGTTCTTCACTGTTCGTTGTCTTTATCTGAGGACCTGATCTCTTTCTCTCCCAAGGTCTGGGCGGTAGACTTGGATCTGCACTACAGCGATCACCTGGCCATGACGCAGGTCGTGCTGTACGTAACACAGGGGACCTTAGATTGTGAATCAAGCCGCTTCCAAGTACAAGTCACTCCAAAGAAACCACACGGCCTCTGTCTCCAGAAGAAACAGCCCCAGTCCGTAAGTGATGTTCTTCTCAAATGATGAAACAAATATACTAATAAATCAACAAACAAGCAGTTAGGGGCCAAAGCGGGGTTGGTTACCCCATTGTTTAATGCACTGCTGTCCTGAGCCATCGTGGGCCATCCTCCCACCGCACTATGGACGTAACAGGGTGGCCCCATCAGTTTCCCCAGTTTTTCCACCTGTTAATGAACAATACGTTTTAATTTACTAACCGATTGTTTAGAAACACATTTGGAAATTACCAGTTGCTTCCCAAAGCTGTGCTGATGTTTTGTGTTAGGTTTAGTATAACTGGCCTAAGGGAGTATCTTGATGGACTGTGCCCTCTGCTTCTTAGCAGAAGGCAGGGCCTTTGCCAGGTTTTCTCTTAGGCAGCAAACCGTCTTGAGCTGGTTCTGTAAACGTCTTGCTGTTGATGAACGTTTGAAAGCATTTTAAATCCAAACTCATCATCTAACAATATTGGTTTTCACAAGAAAACCGAGGCTGAAAATATTTGCAGATGAGATTGTCTCCTGGCTGTCTTCGGCATCGGTTGGAATATTTGGTTCACTATTTACCTGCCTTTTCTTCAAACTCTGTCTTCTTTTAGCTGATCATTCATGAGCCAAGGCCAGACCAACTGCAACTGGTCTTAGTTTTCTTCCACAGGTCTTTACCTTATATCAGGAAGGGCATTCTGAAGTTCAGCAAGGACCCTGGTGAATATCACTTACCGGATACTTAATTTCCATTAACCCTCAGAATAATTAAGCTGGAGATCTCTGAAATACAACTGCCTTTCTCTGCAAACAATCTTCCATTTCTGTGTGTGGTCACAGTGATATAGAACCCCTTTGTTTACCATATTTCCCCCTAAGCTCCATATTTTTTGGACTACAGCTCTCAAAATTCCCGGATGGTATGATCCATGGCTAACTGGAGATCCATCTTGCCTGGGAATTCCGGGAATTGTAGTCAACCCATGTATAGGTTGCCAGATATGGGGAAGCTGCTTTATAGCCGGATTTTGTGCATTCTCCAAAGTGTCCAAGCTCTGAAATGTCAAGATTAATGAGCTCTTGGTCTATTCTTCTCAAGCTACTACCTGGAGTAAGAGGAGTAAATGAGATATGATTAGTCCCAGTTAGAGGCATTAGAAACAGAAAGTAATCAAGTAGCAATTCTTTAAATTAAAGTCTGTCAAAATTAATGCGTGTTTGTCACTTCTGACCTGTAAACCACCATCAGCACATCATTTCTTCTTCTTCTTTCTAGTCCTGCGTGTTCAGCCAAGCATTTGGGGTAAAACAAGGGATCTACCATGTCAGAGCAATCTTTTACAGAACCAGAAGAAACAAACAGAGACAAATCTTTTTACAGTGCATGATCTATAATGAATGATTAAGTAAAAACACTTTATGTGAAATTACGATGTTAATAATGCTTCTGTCCTTGCGAATTTATTATGTGTTCACCAGGCTGCTTGCTTTGATTTTGATAAAATGGAGCGGTGACCAAGTACGAGTGATGGTTTTTATTTTTAGAAATCTCCTTTGCGAGAGCAGATTTCCTAGATGCTGGCGCTACTGTAATTATGTACAAAACCAATCACTCATTATACTTAGGATACATTATCTTTGAGACAGATGAGGCTAAATAAGCAAGACATTAATAATTCATCCGGCAGTTCATTATGCATGTGTTTGTCTGCTTTGTAGCTGAAATAAGCACCTCATCAAACCGACGCCTGCGCTTAAACAATAGTTCGGTGTTATTGCTGCTACATTCAAGTTTACGCTTGTTAAACTGCTATTTGGATTATTTTATCAAGCATTCGTTTATTTTATTTGCCGCCGTCTTCGGCCAGAAGCAGATTCCTCAAAACTTGGGGTACCTGTTTTGAAAACCTCTCTTTTAGCCGGCTGGCCCCAGATAGAAGGGGGCTCTTCAGAGAGGCGGCCAGCCCCAACCCCTCGCCCACCCGCCCGTCTCATGAGATGGCACGGGGGAGCGCAAGCATGCCAGGAGGGAGCAGGGTGCCGGGTGCTGTTTCATGCGACAAATAGCACTTGAGAATGGCAGATTTGGGGCCAGGTGACAGAAGGCTGGCGTTTGCATCCACAGGATCCTTCTGTGAGATCGCAGGGCCAGCCTAAAAATCTCTCCCTAATCCCTTCAACGTTACTGTTCTGATATAGCAAAAATAACTTCCTGCAGAATATCAACAGAAGCTGCTCAACCACTCATGCGTTGTACGAAGCTTCCAAAACTGCCTTTCTACATATGGCACATTTTGAACCCTGCGTGTGGCCCATTGAAATTCAGGCCTTTAGTGCATTATTACCAAAATGACTTGGCAAATATCAGCCAGCATGGCTGAAATCCCTTGGCTCTTGCGCCACTCATTTCTGCCAACAATGGACACAATTTTGCTTAGCACAGTTTTGCTTACATGTTATTATTAACCTTCTTGATGTCATAAGAGCCAGTCAGTGGCACAGCGGTGGGTAGCCGGTGGCCCCCCCAGTCCCTTTTTATGGCCCCCAAGGTCCCCTCCGATTCAGCAGTGAAACTCCCAAAATTGGCACCAGAATCTCCTGCCATTTTGTGATGGGGTGCAGGCAAAAATTGTACTGCTAGCCAAAATAGACTTGCCACAGTGGGTTATTTATGTACTTATTTTCAATACCTCCCATACTCGGGAGGGAAAAATGAAAAAATCTGGCTGTGCCCACCATTGTCCCAATCAGGGTTACTGTTTGGCCCTGAAAAATGCCCATCCCTGCCTGAGGACATTTTTTAAAAGAGGAGCAGGAGGAGATCATGGTAGCAGGCGGTCATGGCAAGAAAGCCCATCTCTGAAACCTTAAGACCCATTTTAACATTTTGCTGTGCGTATGAGACACAGAAAAATATATCTATGTATGTATAATACATGTACAAGAGCTCCTGTTCTCCAACAAGTTCTCAGCAACTGAAGGCCAGTGGAGATACTTGGAAGTAAGGGCGCTCTCACAAAATGATTGCCACGTGGGAGGGGGGCTGTTGCAATTCCCTTCAGCAGGCAGCCTGGAGACAAGGCTCCCATCTCTCTCTCTCGCCTTCCCAAGGCCTTTCTGCTGCCTCAGGTGACCTCTGCCATTTTTTCCGGACAGGTGAGGGGGGGGACACTCTTCCAAACTAAACACTGGCCTGCAGACACAGAGCATTTTTATTTTCTGAGAATGCTTCTGGAGTATTTATTCTGGAAATAAAGATTAAGCCTGGGGCTAATACTTGCTGTGAGCTTCCCATGTATTTAGTTGCTTGAATTAATCTAAAAGCAGGAAAATGAAATCAGGTGGGCCATGGTGCCAGGCAGGTGCCAAGGGAAGTATCCGTGGGCACACAGGGTATCCGGGCATCATGCTGGAGACTTAGGGGCTTAATCATTCTTCTGAGATACGACCCAAGAAGATGAAGGGAATAACCACTGATGTCAAGGGGGGCAGAAGGTAGGGTTTTGGGGGGTGGGGGCGGTTAGATCTCTGTGGTAGAGCAGGTGGGCAAGGTTTCAGATTCCCAGACATTGACCGATAGCAACAGAACAGTCCTCCCTGACTAATGAAGACAGCTTGCTTAGCCAGGAGTGGCTTTCTGTGCAGAGGGGCTTTGAGCCCTGCTCAGTTCTAATCCTTTTCCAAAAAAGAATCCTGGAGTTCTTTAATTCTGTGACTTTTGTACCAGACTCTAGCTGGTAGATCCCAGGATCCTGGGGGGGGGAAGCTCATGTCTGAAATCTTCCCACCCCTAATTTATATAATACAGCCCTTTCATGTTTATTCTGGATCCTACTTCCACTATTGCCTCATGAAAAGCCATACTCAAAGTTAAACCATGAAGCAACTTTGGGTTTATTATCATTTTGGAATGATGTTTGATGTGGTGCGGAGAGATTTGGATCCCCATCGCTCAGCCTACGTGTCTTTACAGGGTTATTGGTAGGAAAAAAATGTGGGAGACCTTTGAAAGGTCTGAGGTGGGTTCAGAATCTCTCCAAGCAGAAATCTAGATCTTAGTAGCTTTCACACTATGTAGATTTCAGCCTCTGTGTGAGATGATGAATGGCATAAAAGTTTCTCAGGGTACTTACGTTTACTTCAGATTTATAGGACAAAATGTTGAGCGGTTTAATATTTGTCCTTGAGGGTTCAGGAGTTTTCAGGTCATATGTAACTCATTTTGAAATTTCACTTTGCCGCTCCAGTGGCTGGCAGGCTGCTGCCTCCTTCGAGAGACGCGAGCCCTGTTGGGTTTAGCGACTGCTTCGTGCCACCTTCATCGGGCTACCAAGGCCTGGATTATATCCTTGTGGGAGAGCCTTCCCAAACAGTGTGCTCTTTGGATATCAGCCTCCAACTCCTATAACCCTTGATCTGCCAGTGGGAACAGAAACTGAACTGGTCCGGAGGGCACCAGGGTGGGAAAGCTGCACAGAGCTCTCTGCACAGGGAGCAGGTAGTCTGGCAGTAGGTGTGTGAACAGGACTTAATTAATGGGGACACCTTCTTGAGTTACAGCGCTGACCCCCATTCTTCATCTGTGTTCATCTGACTCATTGCAGAGATGGAGATTTGTTTCTTTCAGGAAGAAGAAATATGCCAGGGGCTTAAGATTTAGCTACTCCTGTATAAATTTGCACTGCCTTGAAGCTGGAATCTCTCAGGGATTCATCAGCGTTAACTCTTTTTCTTTCTACTTTGCCAGACTTCCATGGTCAGCCGCTACGTTATCATGAGCAGTTCAATTAAGAATACCAACCTTTCCTTCATTTACTATAATGTTTTCCTGAAGATGTGCAAGGCTCATGGGATTGGATATGATGTGCAGGTAGGAAGGTCGGGTGCTTTCATTTCCGTGAAATAGCAATAGGAAAATAGGATGGGGAAGAAATAGAGGTTAAACCCATAAAATACGTGAACCACGCATTAACTAGTTTGGGATAAGAATCTCCATATTTTTGTCCCCTAGGATTCTCTGATCCATTGGAAGTTTGTCAAAATCTGTGATTGTGTGCTTTTATTAGAATAGTTCAGGTTCTGAAATTCTGCTTTCAGATCGTTAGGACTTGGAGGAAGATGGGAGGGGAAGGAGGGAATTACAAGTACATAAATACAGTTTCCAGGCATTTCTCTTGCTGAATTCTTGACCACCACCTTTTTACAACAGCTTGGAAGTGAAAATCTGTCAGGCCTGCTTTTAAATTAATTTCTTCTTAAATCACATAATCTCATATAATGTGGATTAGCCTGTGATTTTGGGAAATTGTATGTTTATAATGTCCAGACCCAGTAAAATGCTTAACATCTTTTCCCTCCCAACAGCTAAAAGAGGGAACTGTTTTTATCTTGTTTGAAGACCAGAAAAGACACACGTTTGGAATGGTGTAAGTTCCCGAGGGAGAGAGAGAAGTAGAAGGTCCCGTAGTTTAAGACTTTCTCCCTGTTCTTTGCTGATGGCAAGTCTTCTGAAAGATTAAACCCCCGAGAGAATGGCCCATTCACAGACCCTTATGGCTAAGGCACAGAATTATGTAAGGAAAGCCAGATTAAAAATATCCATGAGTATTTTTACCTGTTCACTCTTCTTCAAGAGCAGTAACAGCCCAAGATTCCCCGAAATGGTTGAACTCCCATTTTTATAGTGAATCCTAGAAACCACGAGTTTCCAACAGAATGCTCTGTTATTAATGATACTGGGGTTTTCATACCACCAGTGATACCTGTTCACATATTTGAAACGCTTTAGAAAAGGTAGGACTCTCGTGTTTCGAATGACTCAACCATTTGCCCTCCTCCATTACTTGATTAATAAAAAATATTTATTACACAAATCCTTTTTACTGACAAGTTAAAATGGAGCCTCATCTTTCGTATCTCCCTGAAGATTGCCACCTTACGAGATTGAAAATATTCATTAAATTCCACCGTCTGACAGGCCCAAATGAGAAGGCGATTGTTTTTAAGCGTGCGAATAGAATCATTGGCAAAGACATTTCTTTGGATATCATTAACAGAACAATTGGAGAACATCTCCAGGGGGTCCTCATGACCTTTGCTCAGCATCTCTTCATCATCTATCAAGAATTATCAGCACCTAATATGCATGCCGAGACCAATTTTAAGGTGAGGTGTTAATTAACTAACGATCCCAGTTAAATTTCTGCTCAAGGACAGAAAACACCTCATGCTGTATTATAAACAAGTGCTAAACTATCCTGGGTTCTGCTCGTAGCAGTACATATTTTACAGCATGTAGGTCAATATTGTGAGATTCCCAGTGAATGTGTTAGTTAAATTTAAGAGTTTTGGGTATGGAATCATGGATTTGCTCGGGCTGAGAGCGATTGGCATATTTGCTAAAGAAAAAAGACAAAAAAATCCCCTCTCTAGCGTGAATGGCTAGCTCCAGAGGAAATTAGATTTTCATTTTGCATATACCCACTCTTGGATTTGCTAATTGGAGAGGCAAAATATGCTCTCCTCCCCAAAGACTTCTCCTATTGATTCGTCAAATGAAACTGTTGAGATGTTGAAATATTAAAACACATCCATTAGGAGGAGGCAAATAAATAGGCCTGTTTATGTTCCGAAAGCCATTGATGGGCGATGGTTGTAAGCCCAACGCTCGCACTTGTGTACTCTCTACCCAATATTGAGTATCAAAGCAAGACTCAACCAGCCTTATGTGTCTACCACTTTGGGAGCCTTGAAGAACCCTGGAGACACGTTTACCAGGAGTACTGGTGCTTTGTGAATGGCCACCCAGCAGTAGCTCAACTCCAGTCAACATCTGTTATATTTCCAGCATGTACTGCCCATGGTCAATGTTAAGCACTGCACTTTGCATGCTACAGCACAAGGGTGGCTTCGTTCCCATTCCAAATGTGCAAGTTCTGCCAGTTAAACCTACCCAGCGAGAGTGGGCAAAGATTAGGGGCTGGTGGGGGAGTGGGTGGCCCAAGTGCCAGCAGCAATACTGAGTGATGAACTGGAAAGCCAGGGGTCTGTCTCAGCCCCAGGGATGGCACTGTGAAGAAGGCCCACATATGCACAGGGGTGTCCACAAGGGATGTCAAAACATAAAGATGGCCTCTTGACTGTGTGGTCGTGGCCTCCATAATGGCTTTAGTGACACCACCCCACCCTGGTTGACATCCCTGCGTGCATGCCTGGCACCGATGCTAGAATATACTTAGTACTTCAGGCATGCTGTGGGATTCTGAAAGTTGAAGTCCAGTCTACCTGAATGGAAACAATTCCAAAAATCAGAAGGTGCCATTTGTCAATTCAGGCAACCTGTTACATTTTTGTAAAGATTCTGGAAAATTTTGAAGTTACCATTTTGGGTTTCTAGGAACCAAGACTTATGCCCAAATTTGCCACTGGTTACAAGCCCCAGGTGTAACCTTCAGATGATGGCAGCTTCAGATCTGGATGACACCATAAACCAATGAACATGGATTAAAAACCTTGTGCACCAGGAAGGATGGGGTAAAATGTGGTGCATTTCCCTTGGCTGAGCCATTTAGCTTAGCATCTTCCATCAACACAGCCTTATGTGAATGCCCACTATGGTCAGTCCAGCAGACAAAGTAGGAGTGGGATGTTGGGCGGCGAGATCTCTGGGTCTGATGTGCAGCATTTCCACCTCTTTCCAGGGAGCAGTCCAAGATATTGAGAAGATCTTGGGAGTTACAGAACAGAACAAGTTAAAATTTGAAGAGGAAAAGGAGGCCTTGAGAGCAGAAGCGTTCACAAAATAGTTAGTAAACCTTCCTTCTCTTCTCATAGTGTCTCCAAACAATCCTTTTGCATTTTCTTACCCCAAATCACACTTCAAGCACTTTTCCTGAGTAAGTGACCAGTGGGCTGGGCCACAAAACATTTATTTTTCCTTAGAGTAGATTGAGCCTGGAGCTCGAAAAAATATAGTTAGTTGGGCATGACTATATGCCCCTTGGAAGAGAAAAAAAAAGTAACACAGAGTTTTTCAACCTTGACAGCTTTAAGATGTGTGGACTTCATTTCATTTCATTTCATGCTGGCTGGGGAATTCTGGGAGTTGAAGTCCACACATCTTAAAGTTACTAAGGTTGGGAAACACTGCTTAACAGAATGAAATTGGTCAGTTCCCTTACTCCATAACATCCGCTTGGTTATGTGTTTAAGATTTAATACAGATTGTTATCATTCTTAATTCAGGCAATTTATATAAATAAATAAAGGAAACATCAATATGAAATTACATCTGCTCTCTTTTAGGGCAAAGTAACACTAATTATTGAAAGTTATTCTTTTAGAAGAAGAAATACTTGAACATTGATTTGTTAAGGTATATTTTTATGTCTTCCTGTAGGTTAAAGTATGTTCTTCGTGCCTTGAGTTTCTCACTATACATCTTCAAATTCTTCATCTTTTTGAAGCCTTCCAATTTACAATTGTAAATCTGAAATTGTATTCTGGATTTTTGAAAACCACATTTAATGAAGATAAGTAGATCTCAGTTGTGACCCAGGTTTTTAAAACTGTTAATATTAGATTACATTTCCCTTATGTGGTTTACATGAATATTGATTTATTCCTCCAATAAAATGCAATATATTTATATTGAAAAAATTATTTTACAGTTGTCTTGGTAGTGGGGAGACACTTCTGATTTCTAAAATATGGGTCCATTAACCTTAACTCCATTTTTCCCTTTAAAAAAATCCCTAAAAAAAGCAAGCAGAAGATTTCTTACATTTCATTGGATGACAATATGGTCTACTCAGAAGTAAGATCCATTGGGCTCAGGGAGTTTTATTTTCCAATGGGGTATGTCAATAATCCATAAGAACGGAAGGAAAATTATGAGGAACAGTCACCAGACAGCTTTATATTCTGTATTGCAGATAGTTTCATCCTTCACAAATGTTTCTGGAGTTGTTCTGTTACTCAAAAAAAATGTAACCATACTTGCTTGGAAGTAATTATTGCTATATTCACTTGCATCCATGAACATTATGCCGAACTAGATTTAAAACCCATTATTCAAGTCTGGAGAAATCTGTTCTTCACAGTGGCTGCATTCACACAACATGCTTAAGTTAATTAAAGTCGTGCCTGCACAATATAGTAAATGTGGTTGGTTTTGCTTAAAAGTCGAGTGTGTTTGTGAGCCTGGCTGCCTTGGTTCATGTACGTTCTAAGGAATTGTGCAAACTCAGCAATTAATTGTCAGTTTAATTCAGTAATCAGGCCAAGGGTGTTGTGTGAATACAACACAGTCTATTTTTTATACACCCATTCTAAATAATTGGGTGCTATCAGCAAACCTGCTGAAGCTGCTTATTCCTAATGACAGTTTTTAAAAAACTGGGCCCTTCTCCCTGTTCTTGTCCTTAGACCAGTGTTTTTCAAACTTGGCCAGCTGGGGAATTCTGGGAGTTGAAGTCCACACCTCTTAAAGTTGCCCAGTTTGAAAAACAGTGCCTTAAACCAATTGCCCATCTGTAAGAGGGAGCTAAGTCCACACCGATGCGGGCAATATCAAGGAAGTGAGAATTACACCAATTTCAGTAAGGTGTTTTAATGGAAAGATGTTAAGATGGAAAACTTCTGTAGGTGCACTCTTCCACTGTTGCACAGATCCTACTGTCAGGAACTTTTTCCTTATATTAAATCTACCTCGCTGCAACATAGACCCCGTAGTGCGGTGTTTCTCAACCTTGTCCACTTTAAGACGTGTGGACTTCAACTCCCAGAATT